GAATGACCACGTGTTTAACATGGACAGCGTGCAGGGGCCTTTGAGGTGATGGGGTTGAGCAGGGGGTGTGGTGGTCTCTAACTCTTGACCAGGCTCTAGGTGAGAGCAGCCTCAGCCTATTTTGATCCTGGTCGTTATGTTGCTTTTAAACACACACAGAATCAAAATTAGGAATTGGAGCCAGAGTGAAAAGCGTTCAGGTTAGTGTGTGTTCCCAGGGATGTAAGGACTCCCCCCCCCCCCCGAACCCTTTGCAGCTCTGGAACAAAGTACAGGCAGCTATAGGATTTAAGTGCCTCAGATTTCCCAGTACTGATGAGTAAATGCACAAAAGGTTTAGTCTTAATGAGCCTTTTCTTTTTTGGCTTTTGATGTTTGCCCAGGATTCACCGCGAGGACTAGATTCCCCTTATCAAAAACAACAGCAGACATCCCTGCTCTTCCTTTCAGTCGCTGGGCTCTCTTGCTCTGCCTGAATCCAGGCACGGGGCGAGTCTGCTCTCGTGCAAGGGTAAGGGCCGAGAGCTGAGCGATCTCTCCCCCGGCAAGAGGAGTCTTCCATTAACAACAACCAATATCAGCAGCTATAAACAGAATGAACGGCAAGGTCCATGTTTCCTATTTTTGGACATATCCAATTGTCCATCTCAAGGGTCTTGCAAAATTCAGAGGAGAAACCTACATCCTTTTACAACCAAGTGGTGTCAGCTCCCGCCAAAGCATGGTTTAAATATTGGCGTCTCTGGAGTGTATATAGGATAGAAGTCATGAGCTGAGGGCTTAATCCCAACTGTGTTATTCAATTAGCTGATCCACGTGGATTGAGCAAAGGGCAAGTTGCTTTACTTGATTTGGGGCTTTAGTTGCGTCTTCGGAAAAACGAGGCTAGGAATAACCATTTCATACTGTTCTTTGTAAGATTAAGGACGATACCGATTTTGAAACATAGCACAGTGCCTGAACACAGGGAGAAGCCACTAGATGTTTGTTAAAGAAATGAATGAGTGAATGAATGATTGTGTTAAAGAAAAGTAGCATCTGTTCATCGAAGCTGAATATACATTTTTATTTTCCATTTCTCCCCAACCCACATGATCGGTGCACCCATGGCCTACCAAAGGCAACAGACACGTGGAGTCTGGGCGTCTCCCTTAGGCTCTTTGGTCCCTCCTGCCTGTTCTGGGTGACTTCTCCCTCCTCCTCCTGTCAACTGTCAGTCCTGCTGCTGGTGCTGGATGTAATGTGGCTACACAGCTCAATTAATGCTCTGTGACAGGAGGAGGGAAAATAAAAATTGTCTTGCTCTTGTCACTAGCAAAGTTATTTACTTTCAAAAGCTGACAGAATCACACTGCAGGGGCTTCATTTATTTCCACTCAGAATGTCATTATTCTGGGATGCAGGGGACTTGGGCGCACGCTGAAGTTTGTTCCCATAAGCTTCAGTATGGTGGCGGCCTGCTACAGTCCTTCTGGGTGCTGAAGGTATGGGGTGCTGGGCTCTGGCACCCGGATGAACGCCCCAGGCTCAGGATGGCCCTGTCCCGGTGGCGCATGCATTTTCAGACCCTGGATCTTTCCGGTGAGAAGGAGTGTATGTCCCACTGCCGTCTGATCACTCGTCCCCTTTATTCTGAAGTAAAAGAGGAAGGTGTGGGACTCCTAGTTTTCAATCTGCCTTCCTCTGGGCCACTCCTAGAATTTCTAGTAATGCAAAGGTGCCTCTTGCAAGTGACTTTGCTTTGGATCTGTTGTCTCTACCTAAACCCTCTGACAGGCTCTTTCATCCCAATAATCTGTATAAAACTATGCTTTTTTTTTTTCTTTCTTTCTCCCCCGACCCCCACCCTGACCCCCACCCCTCCTTTTCCCCCCTACTCATTTGCAATGAGAAGTTAAACTAGGAAGGCTTGAGTGGAGAAATTCTTTCCTTCATGGTGCAATGGCAGAACCTTCCACTGGGGGTCTCCATTTAGAACATGTGACTCAGGATTCTTGAGAACAGTCTTTTTCTTTTCTTTCTTTTTAAGTCTGCTTTTGGTTCCATTCAAAAAGTGAGGCTCCTCTGTAAGCAACAGGAGATGCTGTGTGGAAGCCCATTTTAGGTAACCAGAGAGAATCCAGCCACCCTTCCGATGATGATGATGATAAAATAATTAAAATAATGAAATAATCAATAACTTTTATGGAGTGCAATGTGACAAGCGCACTACTAAGCACTTTTACATGGATTACCTCATTTAATCGCCCACAAAAGGGCTCTAGGGAGTCAATACGAATCATTTCGTTTTTTAGATGCAGATCTGAAGGGGGAAGAGCATTAATTCAGTCTGGCCCCTGAAAGGACACCTATCACGTGATCCTGGCCCTGCAGACTTCCCGGGCCTTGCAGGCCGCTGGCTCCTTGCGATCTACCCCGGCCTCTGCTCAGCCATCCCTGTGGCCAGACCTGCGCACTTGACAGCGTCCTCCTGGCTCTTTTCTTTGAAAGGCAAAACTTGTCAAAAGGGGAAAGAGTCGGGCAGTCTTTCAACTTTGAAGCTTTTCATGATTTTAGTTTTAAGTCATTAGGAATATTGTTGAATAAATTGCACCACACACGGAGGCTTTCAGACTTGGGAAAGGAAGGTGAGAGGAGAGAGCTCAGGGCTGATGGGAATGTTCGGCTCCGAGAATGATGGAGTGCATTTCTCTGCAGCCACTTCCAATCCCCAAATCCCCGTTGTGCTGAGGAGCTCTCCAACTAACACAGGAAATGCGGTCACTGCCCGGCACCGTATTAATGATTTATATACCCCGCACCACTGCTTTTGTTCACTTGCGGGGCCTGGTCATGTTAATAAAGGAATTCTGGGAGCGGGGTCCCGGCTTGCCATGCTGTTCCGCTCAATGCAGTGCAGGCTGCTCCGTAAGTCAAAAGAATTTAGTGCTTTACAACCTTCCTGAGCTTCAGAGATCATGTGTGCATGTGCGTGCATGTGTGCATGCATGCATGTGTGTGTGTGTGTAATCGGATTCATCTAGGGACATTTTCACTGCCTTTCTATAAAGAATGAATGAAGGAGGGGTGCCATCTATCTTAGGTGCTTCAGGGTTGATTGGTCCGTTTCACAGTGTTATCAGGGCCCTATTTGTTTCCCATTTGGTGTTTATGCTTTATGGTGTTGTCAGTGAAAATGGGCTGACACCATTTTATTAGCATAAAGAGATGCAAGATCACATTAGAATCCCCCTTCCTTCTATATCATCAAAAACAACAGACAAGGAAGCCAGGAGGTATCAGAGGCAGGACCACTATTTGCTACAAATCAGTAGGAAATTCAGGTGTTCTTTAAACAATAGGATTTTCGAGGCTTAAAAAAAAACAAAAAAAAACAAAAAAAACTTCAGTTATTCACAGAAAAAGAATTCTGCTTTGTTTTGAAAATGAGTGAAGACATTTGTTTTTGGAATTGAAGATTCTGGATCTAGGAAAGTTTCTCCTGTCTAGTAAGCCACAGAAAACTGATTTTAACCTCAGTTTTGTTTTTTTTTCCTAATTAGAAAGAAAAAATGATATAATCAAATGGTATATTGAATGTTCAATGCCTCTTTAAAGATATCTGCAGAGAAAAGCCCTGTTTTTTTTTGATTGTGCTTGCGTTCTCCTAATTATATCATGCTTTACATTTTGTGTGTGCTTACATTTTTTTTCCCCCTGTAGAACTAAGAACTGAAAACCTAACAGAAATCTGAGTAGGAGTTTGAGGGAAAAAGAATATTTAGAAATTGGAATGATACTTTAAGTATTCTATCCAATAGGATTATTATTTTTTTAAAGGTGAAATCATGATTTTAGGAAATGTGCCTGACTTTAAAAAAAGATATGTGAAGCTTTCAGGAAATAAATATGTCAATTTGGTGGAATTCCTTAAAAAAATGTATGAGTGACTGCTGAGACTTAGTGAATAGAGCCCCAACTGACCCACACCCAAACCGGGGCTTGAATTTTCTTTTATAAATGTGAAAGTTTTGGCTAACTCGTTCTTATTCACATTTATGCTTATGAAAAAATTAGGAACGTTTCTGGATACTGTCTAGGGTCTTAGCAGTAATGAAATTGAGGCAAATACTCAGTTGAAAAGACTAGGTTTTATAAAAGTCCTGCCTTCCTGAAAAGTAGAGGACAGGAGGTACATATTTATATAAGTAAATAAAGAACGTTACAAAATTTTTTCATCACAAGAAATATGAGACAACATTTTGGACTAAGAAAGCAGGTGTCCAGCAAATGCACTTTACATTTATATTGTACTGATTTTTGTGTTTGCCTTTGTCCTCTCTTATAGGACTCTGTGAGTGTCTCATTGTCTTTAATTATGTCTACGAGGCACAAGACAACAGTCAACATCTGCTCTATTGTTTACTTGGTTTACATATAGCTTTGATGGGTTATTAAACAATCTATTTTTCAAACTGAAAACAGAGAAACCAGCCGAACCCATATTATGGCATTTTGTAAAGACCCATTATGCAATTAGCACTTGGGATTTGTGCAAAGCTGGTGATTCACCCAAATAAACATCCCTTTATTCTGATAGCTCCTCTTGGCTTTGTGAAAAATATCAATTTCTCAAAAAATAAAATCACATTTCCTCCTTAGTCATGTAGCATGCCAAGGAGCTGATGTGTTAATATGAGGGATGGATCCTTCACTTTCTATATCGGAAAAAGAGCAACTCTCCAAAATAATGATGTCTTTAATTCAAGCCAGCAATTACTATATTACATAAGACAACTAGAGGCTTACACATAAGACAGACTTTTGAGAGTTTATTTGATTCTATGGGAGGAGAGAAATGCTATGTTTTTAACCATTTATAGAATGTTTCTCATACTTCATGATCTATTTATGAAAGACGTATCGAGTTGTCTATAGCAAAGCGTGTGACATCCCTAATGATTAAATCAGACCTCATCCCCTCACTTAAGTAATTGGTTAATAATTAATTCACTTGCTCATTCATTCAACAAATATTTATTTAGCCTCTGCTCCTGCCTCAGAAATTGAGTTAGTCACTGAGGGTACAGAGACAAGGAAACCAACTTCATTTTCCTTCATGGAGCTTACAGGTTTCTAGGGAAGGCAGGTAATAAGCAGGCAATCCCCATACAAATTTGTATCGCAAGTTGTGGTAAGTGCTCTGAAAGAAAAAAAAAAAAAGTTGGGTCCGCAGAAAATAGTGGGGGTTGCATTCAAGGATGAAGAGGACTGTCTGTGAGGAAGTGACATTAAAGCTGAGATGAGGAAGCTGGGAAGAGGCAGGGGTTGGAGTGGCAGAGAGCGGGCATACTGAGGCGGAGGGTATGTATGCCGGCCGTACCACGGCTCGGTGTTCTCAGTGACCTGAGCAGAGGCCAGCGAACCTGGAGCACCATGGGAGAAGGGAAAGAGGCAGAGAGGGGCCAGAAAGAAACCACAGGGGCTTAGAAGCACTGATGGGGGGAAGGTTGGATTTTACTCCAAAAGAAATTAAAAGGGAGGAGAAATAACACTAAGAACTCTAAGCAGAGGACAGATATGATTGAGCTTAGCCTTTGAAAACACCAGTGTGGCTGCTCTGTGGAGAATAGATTAGAGGGGGACAAGATTGAAAGCAGGTAGGAGGCCACAGTAATAATTCCGGTACGTGATGACGGTCACCTGGTCTGAGAGTTGACAGAAGAGATGGACAGGAGTGAAAGTTTTGAAAAACAAGCCTGATATTCTTTGTGACACCCCTTCATTCCCCCAGAGCTGGTGTTCAGTCAAAGGAGAACAAATGGAACACACTGGAGGGGACATCTGAGGGCTTTGGTGAGGATGGTGATGTCTCAGAAGAGACTGACCTGGGGTGCATGGGGCTTCACCAAAGAGAATTACAGGCCAGCTTCAGCAGATGTCAGGCCAAAGCTCCCGGATGTTACTTGGCCAGAGCTCAGAATCTCAGCAGTTGGTCTTACACATTGTTTGGTAGCAGAGTTACCACATGCAAAGTCGTATCCCAGCTCCACGGGGTGGTCCTCACATCCTAGCAACGAACTTCCAATATGGTGGGTGAGGAGCAGGGAGCCAGTTTGACGAAATGCCCGGTGGGCAATGCCTCCACCTGCCATCTCCTGAAAAGGGAGCGCAGGAGTTAAATGCATTCTCACAGGTGTCAGGCAAAACTGGCTGTGGATCTTAAACACATCACGAATCTTGCGGACCTCTGACCAGGTGCAGGGACAGATTTCTTCGCTTCTCTGAAGCTTAGTTTCCACATTTGTGAAGTAGAGGTAATAACAGGATCAGTAACATAGGGTTGTTGTGAATACGGCATGAGACAATCTGCAGAGCACTCCGCAAAGCGCCCAGCAAACAGAAGGCTCAGTCAATACTTTTACACTGGTAGTGGTGGTGAAGGTCCTGGCAGAGGTGGAGAAGGAGGCATGCTGGCTGTGGTGAGGATGACGTCTGTGCATGGCAGGGATGTTGATTAGAATGCAGTGCGGTCCAAATCTGCCACTTGCCATCTGTGAGCCCAATGGCAAGGTACTTAACTTGTCTCTGTTTCAGTTTTCTCATCTGTAGAATGGGGATGATGATATACAGTGTTGGTCATTATGATGACTAAGTAAGCTGACATTTGTAAAAAAAAAGAAAGAAAGAAAGTGGTACAGCATTTGTTCTGATAAACAAAGTCCCAGGAGCAGAGAATGTTTATTAAATAACAAACTGGCACAGAGTACAGGCTTAAAAAAAAAAAAGAGGTACCTAGTGGCTTCTGGTCTGCGTCTTTATTCTTGATTTTGCTTTTCGTAGTGAGCGGGAAGGCTGTCTTCCCCTTTCCTCCACTGCCAGACCCACCCCCTTCTCTCCATGTGTCCCGAGTATAACAGGTGTGTGGTAAGCTGGAGCTCTGGCAGAGTGCAACATGAAAAAGACTCCCAGTAATTATAAAAATAACAACAAGGGCTGCTTAGCGAGGTAGGCAGATGAGCACACCACTAGCCAGAATGATAAATAGCGCCTGCAAATGTTAGGTCCCAGTGGGAGTGTGGGAACATATGGGGATAAGCCACACTAAAAGTCGGGCATCATTGGTAAGTTTAAGCGGGTAAGGAAGGCCACTCCAGTGCCAAGTTGGGTTTTTTTTTTTTCTTTTTCCTTTTTTATCCTAATTTTAAATCCTTCAGTTCCCTTTTGTCCCTTTGTTCTATTCTGGTCCTAAAAAGAGCATTCATCTTTGAGGCCAGCCTGGGAGTCTCCAAGGAAGTGAGGTCTGGGTGGTAATCCTAAAACAAACAGCCACCCTGGAATGGGTGAATTTCCACACTGCACTCTATCCAGTATTCTTGGGGGAGATGCAAATGAACACAGTAAATACTTTATGGAATGCTGACTTGTTGAGTTCAGATCTGTCATAGGTGGGGGTGCAGAAAAACGAGTACCTAAAAACCAACCAGTCTGGTAAGTTTAGAAGCATTTGTAGAAAGGGGAAACAGATTTCTCCACCAAACATTATTTGAAAAGAAGAGATGTGCACTGTGTGGTCGGTTGATTTTAGGTTGACGTTTCTTATTTCTGGGTCTGAATAGATTTGGAGATTGTGCAGTGTGTGTTGGAATGGCTCCACAGCAGTGGGATTTCTCTGGAAAGATATTTTGGAATTCTAGTTAACAACCCATGCAGTTTTTCCTAGGGCTCATTTAGTGGAGGTTTCAGCATGGACGCAATGTGTATGATGCGGGCACCTGAGTATTGGTGCCCGCTCCTCTGTAGATTTCCAGGATTCATTAGTTAGCAAGTACATCAACCTCCTTGGTCATGCAAAGCATGCAGAGGAAAGAAAATAGGATTTGGAAGCAGGCAGGCATGGCTTTAGCTGTGGCCCTCCCACCCAACTAGCCAGGAATGATGTAAACTCTCTGTGTTACGCTTCCTCATCTCTAGAATGGGGCAGTTATGAGTACCAATGTCAGAGAATTGTTACAAGATTAAAAGAGTTAGTCTGTGAGGTGCTTACGATAGCATTTGGCATTCAGAAAGGTCCATAAAAGTGTTTGTTTAAAAAAATAAGCAAAATATATCTTATTCATGTGTGTGTCTACTATTCTTACCGTCACTACTGAATTAGTCCAGAATCTCTTAGTTGCAAGGGATAGAAACCCAACTCAAACTAGCTTAAGCAAATATGGGGATTTATTGATTAATGAAACTGGAATGTTTGGGGTCAACCAGCAAGCAAGAAGTGAGCAGTCACTTAAATGCCTGGCATTCATGTAAACAGAGATGTTCGTGCTAAAATACAACCACCATGAGTGAAGCTCATAAAAGTGGACCCAAGCCTAAGGAATATTTTTAGCACATTGCTGCGTGATTTAGAGTACTCTCCACAGCAACCCTATAAGGAAAGTTTTATTAAATAAATCACTGAATTTGTGAGTGAATTGAGATTCAGAGAGTTAAATAATTTGCCTAGGGCGATAGAGCCAGGAATTTTCAGATCCAGAATTTGAACCTAAGTTTGGTGTGGCCCCAGTATCTTGAGTTCTTAGCCAATAGGATACATTGCTATTATAATTTTAAAAAAAAAAAGCTTTTTTTTGTTAGTCAGTTTGAGATTAGCCAAAATATATACATATATACATACATATATACATATATATATATATATTTCAGCTGATCTCAAATTGACTAATATATGCATAGTCTGGAGCCAGATTCACCACTCACAAGCTGTGTGATCTTGACCAAGTGACTTAACCTCCCTGTGCCTCAGCTTCCCTATCAGTAACACAGGGATAATAACAGGACTTTCCTTATAAAACTGCTATGAAGATTAAATGAGTTAATACATAAAGTGGTGAGAAAGTATCTAGCAAATAGTAAGTGGTATATATGGTTTGTTGAAAAATATTTAAAGATAGATTGTAATATCTATCAGGAAGGAAATGAGGTCACTTAGGGTGGTTCCTCTTTTGATGTCCCTAGAGTGTCCCAGAAGGGCACTGCTAATCCGGGAAGTTGAGAAGCCCACCTGTCAGAGGCTCTCTGTTGCCACCAGCTGCCTGGCCATGACATCGTGAAGAAACCATTTGCAGTGGTCAGCCCCTTGGCTCATCCTCACAGATGCTCAGCTGCACGGCTTGGCACAGCTTGGCTCTGGGTCCCTCCTATCTCTGTCTTGTCTCTAAGAGCAGATTGCAGAGTCTCTGAAAATGCAAGCACGTATTTCCTACCTACATTCTCCCCCAGCGCTGGTTTGGTGGGAGCCCTACTATGCCTTCCACCCGCTCATTGGGTTGATAGCATTTGTTTCCTAGCCTGGAGCTGGAGGGGAAAGGGCTTCATCAGAGAGAAGCCAGACCCCAGCTTGGGAGTATTGCTCATTACTGGGCGGGAGAGCTAGGGTGTGTGTTTAGATTCTATACTGTCTGACTTGGTTTTACATTATGGAATGCCTTAGCACTTTCCCAAGTTGTTTGACCTTCTTGCCTTTCTGAAAACCTCATCCCTGTCAAGTTGTGGTGAGAGTCCTCTGAGCGGCAGGTAGATATCCTCAAAGTCACGGTGCTGGGATAAGCAGGTCAACATGATTCCACGTGAGAACAGTCACCTGAACTGTCACCATGAGCCCGACTTAAAGGATGCTGACTCCATCCATGCCTTTCCTTTAGCAAAAGCACTGCACATATTGGCCATATATGTAAAAATCTGATAGAGATCCAGAGGCTCCTCGAGGGACCCCAGTTGAATTTCAGAGGGGCCATCAATCCCCTGTAATGATATGGAAAATTTTGTGAATTATGTGCAGTTTTCTGGAATGAAGGCAAAATTCTCATAGTAGTCCATGCATCAAAATATGAGTTAAGAAACACCACTTCTCCTCAGAAGAGGCATTAGTATGGGAAAGAGCCCAGGCTAAGACAACCCTAGAGGTTGAGATGGTGCTTCAGCATCACAAAGGAAGGTGGCAGGATAATCTCTTCAGCACGCCTTCTCCTGGATCACCCTTTTCTCCTTCCCCACCCATGCTCTCGCTTTTTGCTGGTGTTCCCACGTGACCAGCCCACTTCCGTGGGCCTTGAACCTCCTCTGCTTGCGGGGGAGGGGGGGATTTCCCCACTCCCTGAACTCTTGGAGGAGGGGGAGGCTAGTCTTGCCCCAAGCCTCGAGGTGTCATCCAGCTCTCTGTATTGGCTTTGCTTGTGTCTTTCTTTGCCTCCAGTGGCTACTGGAGAGGTTGAGATCGAGTGAGGTGTTGAGGGTAAAGGAGATAAGGAGGCCACTCAGCTTGAGTTGCATACTGGCCAGCATTTCTTAGAATATTTACATCGGGTCACATGCCAGAAAAGGGCTTCACCAAGTAATTAGCACCCAGGGCTCTGCAGCCCCCGTTCAAGGTACAGCTCCTCGTTTACCAGCTATATTTCCTTTGTCATTCACTTCACCTCTCAGTGCCTCAGTTTTCTTGTCTCTAATGTAAGAAATCTAACAGGATCTATATCATAGGGCTGTAGAGAGGATAAACAGGGAACACATATGATGACACTGGTGCAGTGCCTGGCACAAAGTAAGCATTGAATATTTGTTCAAATGGTAGAACTGTGGTGATGATGATGAAGAAGAAGATGAAGAAGTAGGAGGGGAAAAAGGAGAAGGAGTAAAGAACTTTGCACATGATTGAGACACAGTTAATTTTCAGTAGCCAGATATCACATAGCAAGGTGGATGGATGGATGGATGGATGACTGGCTGGTGGGTGGATGATGGATCGATGGACAGATGGTCAGTTGGTCATCAAATAAGTTTGGGACTATCTGGATCAAACAAGGTCAAGCAGGTTTCTATTCTTTTTCCTTGTAGGACATCTCAGGTGCTTTACTATGCTAATAGGCATCACAAATCCCCAAGAGGGAGAGACAACAACCTGAATTTCTCCTACTTCTTTGCTCATGGGATTCTTTTTACAATGAAGCATCTCCTGAAGCTTCTATTATGCAGAGCATACTGGGAGATGAAAGTCCAGGTGCTTAGTCACCCAAAGAGAGAAGGATGCACATTGAACTCAGATGTTTCAGCCAGTTCACAGGGAGTAGAGTATGTGCATGGGGTGTGGGCAGAAAGGCCCAGTTATGAGTTCTGGAGATTGTGCTATTTGGAGTGTCTCTGTGCCCAGCTCCTGCAGGGACCTGCAGCACAGACGCAGAAGATATAGGGAGGGCACAAAGCAAATTCCAGAGGAACAGCTGATAATCATCCCCCACTCTGAGAGTCCCCAGGGAGCATTTGTTTGCCTCAAGCAAGGTCAACAGATTCTCAAACCCAGTTGCCATTCATCCCAAGACAGGTCAGGGGTCGGTTCCTGAAGCATTGTTGATCTCAGCAGAGATGATGTGTGGGGTTGATATTCTTAGATTTGCTCATTCAGCCAATCAGTCTGGCTTTCAGAGGAGAATCAGGTCAAGAAGCGCTTAATGAACCAAGAGGAGCACGGTACTACCTCTACCACTGGGGGTTCGAGTTTCTAATGATAATCAGCAGCCTCCTCACTTATAAGACCTACTGGAATTTTCTTTGTGCATCTGCATAACCATTTTTGGAGGTAATAGGGTGACCCAGTGTCCCAGATTCAAAGGCACTATCTTCATCATCCCCATAAACCCTCACTTGAAATTGAAATTCTCATATTTTGGTTTCAACACTATATCTTCTATGTATAGAAGCCACACAGACATCCTTGTTAGCTCCTGTGTCTTAATTTTTGGTTAGAATCATGGAAGAAGGAGATAAGCTCTTACACAAGAAGGCACATTGCAGGTTACTTTTTTGAGCACTATTTTATTTAACTATTAGAGGTTGAGGGAGAAAGGATTTTTATAACTCCTGGTTTGGGGGAGGTCTGATTTGAGCTGGTTTGATCCTCCAGACCAGCTGTTGCTAATGCTGTTTCCACTGCAACAGCTATGAGCACCCATTAAATGAGTGTCTGCTATGAGCCAGTCCCTCAGCTAAACATGTCTGCATGTTATTCTTTTTCAAATCTCCAGACCACCTATGAGTTATGGTTATTAATGATATTCTTATTTTACAGATAATGAATCTGGGGCCCAGAGAGGTTAAGTAATTTACACAAGAAGACACAGCTAGCAGTTGGTAGAAACTAGGCTTTTCATATGGGCAGTATGGCTCAGTGTGAGCTCTTAACTACTATGAGCTGGTGCTTTTGCAAGAGGGAAGCCAGTGGTGGCAAGAAGTGTCAGACTGTGAGGGACTAGTAGTGTCTTGGTGAGATGTAATGCTTAGGAGGCACTTGTCATTCTTGTGCGAACTTTCCATGCATCAATTCATTTACACATATTAATCCAAACCAGTCCATAAGAGGGGTTGGGGATATAGCTTCTCTTCCCAGGATGTCACTTTCCCAGTTGAGGATACAAATGAAGTGGCTATAACTTGAGGAACATCTGGTCTATATGGCTTAGTACATCCTACCCACAGTCTGTGGAAGCTTTTCCTGTGGAAGATCTTGCCTCCCTGGTAATCAGCTCGATGGTTTCAGTGTCCCCTCTGGTGGGAACTCCTCTGTCTGTCCCCAGTGTCAGGACCATAAACATTATGTAGCATCTCATGGAATTTGCCTTTGAGGTCCATGCTGTTCTCACCTGCATTGGATGGGGTTTGAATACATGCCTGGTGGTGAGTGGAGTTTATCAATGTGGGTTCAAGTTGTTACCCTAGAGTGGGAACTCTTGATCTAGCAGATACTAGGGGCATGTGGAAGGGAAAACTGGCTCTTGGTAACTAACAAAGCACACATTTTGCAGTTTAAACTCAGACAAATGACATAACCTCTCTGAACCTCCATCTCACCCTGTGGACACCACAGGTGATTCTCAAGTGCTTACTGAGCATCTGCTCTAAGCCCAGTCCTATGAGAAAGACAGGAAAACAAAATGATTGAGGATGAGATAGAAAAGATAAAATGGATCTTACCTGGATGTGGTCACCAGCCAGGTCTTTACCGTCCTGAGACAAATCACTGCTGGTCTTTTGGGGGCTTAGACGGGTAGGTTGTGAGTGCTGGAGAAGGTGGGGAGGCTGCCTGAGGAGCCCACACTTGGCTGTTTGTGAAGGAGGGGTGTCCTCAACAAGCGGCCATGTGGGGGGCAGAAAGAAGGCTCCAAAGAGACATCAGTGTGGGTACTGGTGGGGCGCAGAGAAGGCAAACTTGACATAGCACAGAGATGACTAGGGAACAATTTCACACAGGTACACTAAAGACCGTCTGAGGAAAAAAATAAAAAATAAAAACACATCAGACCTTTGTGAACACCTTCCAAGTGCCAGGAACACACATGCTCAACCAGTCATTTCTTGGCAGCAGCCTGCCTGTGAGGACCTACAGAGGTTGGGTCACTTCACCCCCAAGGAGACTAGGGCTCAGGACTGAGGATCTTATCCTAGGTCAGATCCAACATCCCAACCCCCAGCCTCTCCAACTTTGAGACTCAGGCTTTTGCTACTATGCCAGGATACCCCCGGGCCACTTGAGACAAATTTAGAGACACAGGTAGCCCTCAGTTGTCCAGAGACCCCTGCGCCCCTCTGTTTGACTCATGTGTTCCCAAAGCAGCCGTTCAGCCAGTCATTCTCGGAGACTTTGTTTGTCTAGTCACCACTTCAGAGTCATTGGTTGAACAAGAAGGACTGGCAGGCTTCTTCATCTGAGCCAGTCTACCTTCCAGAGGAATAGTCACACTTCACAGAATTCTTATACCTTGCTAAGGTGATGCTAGAACAAAGGTGATGGTATAGCTCATCCTGCCTGCCGTCATGGGGAAGGCTTTGCAGAAGACGTAACATTTGATTAGGCCAGCAAGTTTGAATTGGAAGGAAGGAAGGAAGGAAGGAAGGAAGGAAGGAAGGAAGGAAAGAAGGATGGAAGAACGAATAGTTCTGAATAGCAGGCCAGCTTGTACAGAGGCTTGGATCTATAAAAATGTATGGAAAAGGCAACTTGCCAGACTGATTTGCAGAGGAAAAAAAGTGATTTGTAGAAGGAAGGGCAGTGTGTATTAGAGAATGAATCTGGAAAACTAAAGGTGAGGACTATCATGAAGGGCCTTGAATACTGTAGGAAACTGTCTCTTCCCCAACTTGGCCTGGAAATGGTATGGGATGAGTGGTTCAATATTCTGCATAGATCCGTATGGTCAGATAAACACTATCAATGTCCAAAAGATAGGGAATGCAATTAATATTGTCAGAGAAACACTCTGTTTTATGGTTTTTATTTTGTTCTGTTTCACTGGTCAATGAGTGGCAACTGACATTTGGCTTCTTTTCAGGAAGCAGATAAAGAATAGTGGAGATAGTCTCACAGAGTCTGATTCTCCTGAGCTATGGAGGAGGCAGATCCTTTCCAGACTTCAGGGATTGTTGGTACAAGGAAATGTAGCCCAAAGTTTCTAGATCTTCCAGGCTTTCAAGAGATACTATATATCTAAATTTTACATGAGACGCTTCAATTTAAAAATATCACCTCTCTTTTACACAATGCATACAAACCATCACCGTCGTCATCATCAACATTCTCCTCCTCCTCTCCTTCATCTTCCTCCTCAGACTGAATTTGGTCCATGAGGCTACAGTTGGCTCTGTTGACCAACAGAATCCATATGGCAGCAATTGGTCTTCTCCAAGTGCTGTCCTCTCCCAACCTCCAGCCAACACTTGTCTTACTTTTCTCTTTCCTTCTCCTACATGAGTGTTTAAACTTTGGGTGGCTGCCACTCACAAAGGCTGGTGGCAATCAGCGTAATCCTCATGTTTGCTCTCGGATGTGGGAAGGAGATGCGGTGTCTGACCTCGACAAGAGGAACCACTTTAATCTAAGGAAGGGGAAAGAGAAGGCAATCTCCAAGAACAGAGTGTCATCATGGAAGGTGGGGAAAGAAGATGGAAGGTGGGGTTTATTGCTTATTTGTTTTCTATTTGTTTTTTATTTTTCCGGAGAGGGAGGTAAGATTGAACTATCAAAGCCTGGCTAAGATAAAAAAAATCTCCTAATGGAAATCCCTAACTCAGGGAAGATCGACAGAACTAGCACCAAGGAAGTGACAGGAAAATCAAGAAGTATGTGGAGAAGCTGAGGGCAACCAAAAAGGAGGATGTATTTGCTATTGTATTAAAGTCTGACTTTCAGAGCTTTAATTAAAATACATGCTCTCAATTAGGGGTCAACAAACCGTGGTTTGTGAGCCAAACCTAGCCCATTACCCATTTTTATGACCCTTAAGCTTAGAATAATTTTTATACTTTTTCAAGAAGGGAAAAAAATCAAAGGAAGATCTCATGGCAGGTGAAAATTATAGGAAATTCAAATTTCAGTGTTTGTTTCTGTATTGTAACTGCTTTCATATGTCAGTAGTGGCTTTGAGTGGTTACAGCAGAGAGCTAAGGTCCTCAACACCTGAGCTATTTATCATCTGCCCATTTATAGAATCAAGTTTGTCATCCTGTCTGGGATGACCATAGCAAATATTGGTGCATGGCCCTTCGCTTGAATTCTATGTTTCTGAGGCTTACCTGTGACTCCTCACCACTGTTTCCTTTGTTCTCTACTTTATTCTTTTATTCTACATTTTCAAAGTTCCTGCAAAAAAACCCATGAATTTAATACCACACACTAGACGTTGGATAGCCATCATTTATCATGAGTCATGCACACTATCCAGTGGTGAGGAGGAATGAGCAGAAGGCGGTGTCTGCCTTTTAGCAGAGGAAGTGGATTTAAGAAGAAAGAATTATTGTCTAGTAATACTAGGTGCTTCTTATTTGGAAAAACAGAACCTGTTTTTGGAATAAGGGGTTTTGTTTAATGGTTGTCATTAAATTTTATGTTTTATTATTTCATGATGTTTTTGAGGTGGGTTTGGAACAAGGATATATTCAATTTGTACAGTTCCAAAAATATAACTACTACGGATGATACATGACAGTAATATGTGAATATACAATCAGAATCAGAGACAATGTGAATAGCAGTAGTTAGGACTGGAGGTGGTGAGGACAGGGAGACAAGAACACAAATATGCAGGCAGTAAAGGCCAACACAATGGACTTCTTATTTGGCTTTGAGCTTCCTGGCAGTCAAAATGAAAAGGGTCACAAAACAGTTAGCCCTTATCTTAAGAGAAAGGAGGAAATGGATGCTCATTACTCAGGACCAGCAAAAACTTCTGTATCATGGAGTTCTTTAAAAGAAAAAAGAAAATGCCCTCGGCAAAGGGTATAGCTATGTATTTATATGCCCCATATATAATGCATTTCTGATTTCTCTCTGAACTCATCAGGTTCTTTAGCCAAAACAATATATACAGTAATGAATACAATGATCCTTCGTATTTATGTAACTGTGCAGTTTCCCCAACACTCCCAGAATTTCGCTCTTTGGAGCAGTCTTGGTAATGAGTAAGTGGATATTGTTACCTCTGTTGTAGTTTAGGAAACTAAGCATCTAAATGTGTAAGTTCCTGGCCTTAGTGATCGAATTATTTCCTGCCTCCCCCTCCAATGGTCTTTCCATTTTGTAACACTGAAGAGATATAATCCAATCTGACCCAGCCCTTACCAGAGTAATGAATAGCTCTCCCATCCCCGGAAGCTGTCTCATGGAGATGCCTCTGTCCTCCCTGGTAACTTCTCAGAAGCGCGGTGTTGAAAGTCGTAGTCAAAAGCTAAAGTTAGAAACAGTATCAGGCTGTTAAGTAAGAGGGGTCAACTTGCAGCTGTTACTGGAGCTTTCTGAATTGTAACAGTGTGGCCACTTTGATACACAAGAATCAATTACAGAGAAACCTTGTCAAGATGGCCAAAATTCAGCCTTAAATAACTGAATTCTCTGCCAAACGCCGCCCACTGTCGTTATCTAGAAATGTAATTATGCAGCTAAATCAAGCAACTAAAATTAGTGTAGTGTAAAAACACCTTGGCTATCTAAAAGTGGAGGGATTGACATTTGGATTTAGAAAAAGCCAATAGTTGAATATGTTTTGTGGTGTCTGAAGCTCTCCGAGTTTCTGCAAAATCTATATCCTGTGTCCTGCTTAGAGTTAGAGGTGGAATGTGGCAAGCGGATGTTCGGTTTGAAGGTGATTTCCAATGATCCCTGGACCTTCAGCGCTAGCTGAACGGACTTGCTTTGTCTGTTTCACATCCTTGCTCTCAAAATTGGGGAGCTCTCAACCGGCCCACATGCCTTCCTGCTATGAGTGACGATTTGAATGTGTCTGCACCTTTGATCTGAAGCCAGAGATGTGTCCATACTGACCGCCAGGAAAACAGGAAACACGAGATACGAATGGCTGATAGCCTATATAGTATTGTACACAGGGTATGATGGCAGGGACTTTGTCATACAACCCTATGAGGTAGGGTTTGTTATCACTCAGTTTTCTAAATGAGGAAACCAAAGCTCAGAGACTCTGACTGTGAGCAAACAATTCAACCAGTGTGAGCCCCTTTCCTGTGTGTTGCCTGGAACTGATAGTAAATAGTTCAGAGAGTTGTGAGAATAAATGACATGACCCATGTAAATAACTTAGTTCATTCTCTGTGCATAGCACTCTGCAAATGTTAGCTGGCATGATTATTGTATTATTTGCACAGATTGCCCCTTTAAAATTAAAACCAGAGAGAGAGAGAAAGAAGCACAAACTATCACCTTAGCTTCTTTTGATCAGTACCACAGGCTGCCCACATTAACCTACTTGAGTTTTAAGTGGCAACTGATAATCGTATCAATTTACATTCTCAGTTTTTCTCGCTAAAAATCCCATGCAGACTCTGTCCCTTGCCTTTTGCCCCGGTTCATTAGGAAGAGCCCAAATCCTATAGCCTGACTACCTCTCTCTCTGTCATTTGGTCTCTCTCTCACTCTCTCTGAGAACTAAATTAATGAAGAGTATTTGGTTAGTCATGTTAGGCAAGCCGTTCCCAAAATAGCACCTTCCATTTTGGTAGCTTCAACTCTGCAGCTGCTGTGTCTCTTCGTCGTCTGGGAAGAAAACTTTCACATTAAGAGTTGCTGATGCGGATTTTCTTTCTTTCCCCTCTCCGCGTTGATGAGCGCTTGGCTCCTGACAGAAGCGATTTGGCTCTCAGCTTTGTAGTTCGGAAGAAGTTGGGTCTATAGATTTTCCCCTAACTCTCCATTGATGTGTTGAGCTTCAGAGGGAATAATACCTTCACGTAAAGCATGTTGCCTTCTCAAGGAGTCCTCCTGCATCCCTATGGCGTGCCTATGATTGTTCCAGCAGCCCCCTACTTCCCCGGACTGATCCAGGTAATTCAAGGCCACTGCCAGCAAGCAACTTAACTCCAGAGCGCTCGGAGTAATAATTGGAATTTTTATGGTTGAGAAAGCAAACACTTTTAATACAGGAAAAAGCCCTCGTGTAGTCAGTGGGAAGACAGTAGGAAATCAAAAAGATGGATCACCCTAATCTGGCTATTGACATCTCTCATGGCTGAATAAATGGTGTAGTTGAGCTATATTTGCTTGTATTGATCTGGGTGCTGTTTAACATTCATGCCTTTGCTTCAGGAGGTTGACCACGGGGCAAAGGATTTGCTCTCCTTCCCAGCTTTCTGAGGGACTCAGTCTCCCAGAGCAGATCATGAGGCAAAGTAACTTATCATGAGGTGACTTGGTTAAGAGCTTTAACCCAGAAAATAAAAGGAGTATGAAATATGCATTAATTCATATGTTTGCCTTCATGTGGATTGTCTGTTTTCATCGGAGCCCCCCCCCACCCCAACCTGGGTTGAGGGGTGGCATTGAGGCAAAAAGGAACACTCTGTTGATGGTTAATTTATGAAGTTCAGAGATTATTCTAGGAATCCCTTACCAGCTGTTTACTCCTTAATGATGACAAGAAAGTGGAGGATTGAAATGTGCGATGGTTTTACTTTAAGGCTATTAATTCTGTGCAGGGAGAATCATCTACCAATAAGATGCTTGGGATTTTTTTTTTTTTTTTTTTTTTTTTACCTTACCATAAGTTTGTCTTTTTAAACAAGCATTGGCTTCTGGGTGTGTGTCTGAAGTTTGTGGAAAGCTAACACTGAGTCAGTGACAGAGCCTGAACATCGTGGGAAACCCAGATGGTTAAGTGGTTGTTGTTTGTTTGTTATTTGTTTGAGAACAGCCATCCCTTTGTAATAAATCTATTACAATCCTGTTTCTACAGGAAAGGAAAGCTAAATGTCTTTTGTGTTCACTGCCCTTTCACCTTTATTCCTGCCTCCCCAACTATATTTTAAAATTCTGCAATACCCTAGCTTGTTAATTGAAATTTCTGGGGGAGGGTTCTGGGCAAACACATTTTTCCCCCTTTTCCAAATGGTGCTTGTGAACTGTAAGAACTTTGGTGATTTGAGACATGCAGGGGCGATTTTACATACTAACAAAACATTCTGTCATCCTAGATTTATGGCCATTGCTCAGTTTGGAAACTCCTATATGGTGTGTGAGAAATAAGTGGACCGTCTGAAGAATGGTCCTTTCACAACATGGAAATTGTTCCATCTTTCCTGGCGTAAGCAGGCCCATGGGGTGCACATGGAGTCTGAAGCAGGACTCCATGGCAAACTGGAACGCCTTTTGCTTCTGTTGGAAACTTGGGGTGAAGGTCGGCTGTTGGAGTTTTGTCAGACCCTCTGCCGCCCTGTCCAATAAATAATTACAAGCAAATCGTGCCCTTCACCCTATGCTGATTGATGCTGAAATTGCTTTTGAAAGTTCTCATAAGTTCCTGTTATAGATTAAGTGCCGGTGTAGGAAAAATAGTGGCACCCACTGAAATGGGTGAATGTAATCAGGCTTAATGGACTTGAGAGCTTGTTGGGAATTAAATAACTATCGATTTGCTGGAATGTTGCTGTCATTACGAAATGCCACTCTGGACGTATTACCCCAGTGATAGATGAGGAGACGCACAGGGCAACTGAGAAATTGGGGAGGTCCTATTTCTTCCTCCTTTGAAGAGTGTTTGAGAAACATATCCAGTTATTTTTGGAAGGAACAAGTGATTTTACTTGCAAATCTCAGCCCTATCATACTTTGTTTCCCCAAGTGACACTTCTGGTAACTAGTTACCCATAAGTCAGGAGAGCAGTGCAGCGAGGAGCCTCTAGACCAGCTGCTGTGACATATTCAACTTCTTCCTCTCCCACTCCCCCAGAACACACTGAAACGCGATGGCTAGAAAGAGACCTAGCTTCATTTCTGGTTTGCTGAGAGAGCCTATGTTATTTACCCGTTGGCATCAAGAAACTCAAATCACCCCACTGCAGTAACATTTGCAAGGGGAGGACATGCAGCTCAAAGGGAGAAAAATTGTAACACACACACACACACACACTCACACTCACCTTCCAGCTGAGGCTTCTGACACCAGCTGTGCTGTATCCCAGCAGGTTGTATCGGCTTGCTTACCAATTCCTTGACCTTGTATTTTTTTTTACCAACTCTTCAAGAGTTGCAGGTACTTTCCTATATTCCTATAGGGGTGTAAGGTGCCACCCACACCTTAATAATGTCATCAGCAAGGCATTAAAGTGATCCAAAATAGTGTGTGTACTCCATCATCGGTAGTAAGTTCCCTGTGACTGGAGATATGCAAACAGAGCTGTCGTGGCCACTTGACAGGGTTGTTGGATCAGAGTTTGAGATTCCTCCCAAGGTCTTTCCAACCTCAAGAGCCAACAATTCTGTGGCAGAAGAACTTCCGTTTCATAATTCTTTCAAGTGCCACTTTTTTATTCATACTAGCATTGCCCTGTTTTGGTCCGCTCGGTTGAAGAAAAAACAAATAATTGACCAGACATCATAACAGGCTTTAAGGAAGCATCATGTTGTCTGGAAAAAAAAAACAAAAACAAAAACAGAGAGTGGAGTTGTTTTCTACTAATTCTAGGGCTGTTACTCATCAGCGTCTTGTTTCCAGAAGTTACCGCTGATCCCCACCTGCCATCCTTTAGGAAAGCCAGAATGACTACCATATTGGATCTCCTGAACCCATCATCTCATGTCTAAACTTGTTGAATATATAGCAAGGTGGATAGTTTCTCCTTCTAGCCATGTAAAGAATTCCAGAATGGCCATGTGGAATTGAACTGAACAGTTTGGATAGTTTCATGGGTAGTGAGAAACAGAAGAGAAGAAGAAAAGAGTAATGTTACCAAGTGTATTATATAAACATTACTTCTTTCCCTTGGTATGGATCTCAATCTCAGACTCTTTGGATAAAAAGAAACAATGTATGTTCCTCTGGAACCTCTTTATTTACTTCTAAATGTTCAACAATACCTTGAATGATCGATGAGCTGTCTGATCTCAGAACAAAGAAAGCCTGACAAGTCAATTGTCAGTCGGTCTTGAATCCAGAAGTTACCGACATGACTAATCCAAGCCATGGACCACAGCTGCACCATCCCAAGCGACATAAGAAAACACTGGCTTTGTAAGTGATTAGTCTGTTTGTTTAGCATTTAGGTCCAATGAGCCCTTGGCTGTAGGTTGCAAGTTCAGACTTGCACCCCTCGCTGTAGATATCTGTCCAAAAGGTGTGCCCTTTGATGATGATACATGGCTGGATCATTCTCCATACTGGGGCAAGTAATTCCCATCTCATCTAGGTATTACAGATAATGGATCTGTCAGATATTTTCCTAGATGGAAGATGGTGTGAAAAGAGCCCCATCCATCTCCCCATGCGTTTGTTAATTTAGTTATTCATTCACTGCTAACATATTCCACATCAGACACTGCTCTGGATCCCCAGGACACAAAAGTTGTAGTTATAGCCACTGACCTGTAGGTTCACAGCCCGTGGAAGAGAACACTAGATCAACACAAAGCTGATACTGCAATGAAAGTATTAGAAAAGAATGACAGGGAACAGTTATTGAGTATTTGCCATGAGCCAGGTGTTGTGCTAAATGCATATAGGTATATTTCCTCAATTTGTTCTTACAAAACCCTAATATTGGGTACTCTGAGCCTACCATCCCTTATCTGTAATTTTAAATTCCAAAAAGCTCTGTAAATCAAGGTTTTTTGAGGGGCGGAGTTTGGCACCAAAACTCATTTGGGAAGCAATCTTGACCTGAAATGATGGGTGGCTATTTATAGACTTTCTTTATCCCACTTAGTGTAAATATTCATATATTTTGCTACAGGGGTATTTATGTGTTTGATTTCAGAGTGCTGTCCCAGACCCTGCTGAGGGTGTTAAATAATCAGTGTTTCCACTGAAATACCTTTCTGAAAAAGACAATTCCCCGCCCCTCCCATAAAAATTTGAATTTCAAAATACAGATGACCCCAGAGATCTCAGATAAGGAATCACAGTCCTGCATTATGATGCCCTTTTTGCATATGAAGAAACTGAAACTGACACTCGAGAAATGTAACTTGTCCGAGGTCACAGGAATGTCAGTGACAATGCTGAGATTTGGATCAGGTATGTTGGGCCAGAGCCTTCCCTCTTCACCAATCTACTGTTGTGATGCATCCATGGCAATGCATTTGAAAATACAGGAGAGGGGGTAGATGGATGTCTCTTAGAGTAGGGAAGTGGCTGGTTAAATGGGAAAGGTGGCATTTGAGTTGAGCTGGAGAGCACCAGCATGCATTCATAGGGTAAGCTAAGGAGAATGCTCTTCCTAATAGAGCAGAGCACCTGGGTGAATTCATGGTGTTGGGGTGACACATCGAGATAGAGCTTCAGTATCTTCCCCAACCCATTGGCACTATGGAATTTGACATTGTTTAAACATAGGACTCAAGAGTCCAAAGACATAGGTCAAAAGGGCTGGGAGGAATCTCAGAAATGAAATGTCCGAGTGCTCGACACAGAAATGGGCTCCGAAATACTCTTCTGTGAATCCAGCAGGTGAGTGTCCACTTTGCTGGATTTGAGTTCTGAGCACTCTTTGCCATCTTTTCTCTCTGAGACTGTAAGCTCTCTGGAGGCCGAGTGCTTTCTAACTTAAACTTCACAGAGTAGGCGGCAGCAGAGAAATGCTGATTAGTGCCCGTCTGATGGGGATAGCAATGGAATGAGCAAACCCTGTACTCTGGATTTCGAAGCAGAAATCAGCATCATTGAATTTGCAATGCCAGGAATTATCAAAGCTCTGGTCTTGACAGTGAGCCAAGACTAACCATCCCCACAGAAAGATAGAGGAACATAGAAGGAACTTGCGGGTCATGTGGATACATTTCTGGGGGGACTTAAAAGACATAAACTTGTTTTCATCTGTGGCAAGTAGAGCCATTTTCAGATCCTCCTACTGCTGCCCTGCAATGTTATCTACATGTTTAGAGTATCTGCTGATCGGGAAAGAAATCAGATATAAATGCTAGTGGTGTCATTTACTTTGAGGTCGCTCCGTCTCAGTCACTAAGTGACTTTTCTGTACTGCCAAAGAGGCCATGTCAACAGCAGACTAAATTAAAAAGTCAGGGAGGTGGCAAGGAGAATTTGGAGTCAAACAGGTCTCGGTTGATATATTGGCTCTGGCATTTACTAAGCGTGTGGCCTTGGGCTTGTCAATTAACCTCTCCAAGGCTGTTTGCTCAGCTACAAAATGAAAGCAGGAATACCTGTCTTGCAAGGTGGTTGTGAGCTTTAAATGTGATTCATCTCCTCATTCAGCAATTATTTATTGAGCACCTACTGTATGTCAGGCTGTGAAGTAGGAAAGGGTGATGAGGCAGAGTAGAAAACACACAAGACCGTTTTCAACATGAAGCTTCCCTCCTAATACATAGGAAAGGTATATATATATAAGATCTTATATATATATATAAGATATATATATAAGATATATATATATCTCTTTATATATCAGGGTAGATGTTTATTCTGCATTGTTCAAGAGAAAGAGAGAAAGTGAAAAAGAGAGGCATGATGAGTGTTTAGTCAAGACTCTTTTATTTGTAAGCAACAAAAATCTAATTGGAGAAAACATCTAGCTTCAGGCGCAGTTGAATTCAGAGGCTCCAACAACCCAAGTCATGTCTCTCCCAGACCCCACAGTGGTTGTCTTTTCCTGATCTTCATTCACAAGCACACCACATCTAAGTGGAGGCAAAAATGGTCCCCAAGCAACTCTGGACTTACATCCTAACCCAGCTTTGCAAGTCTCTTTCTCACTGTTCTTGCAAAAATTCCACATAGCAGTCTCCTTGGCTTATCTTGTGAACCATGCCCACCCCCAAAGCAATCATCTTGAGTCACCGCTCGCATGGGAGCTGGAGGCTGTCGTCCTTCCAGACTGAGCTGTAAGGGGCTGTGAATAGGGGGAGAAAATGAGTCCTGTTCTCAAACTAGGGTGCTGGACAGGCAAATACCAGGTCCTCATGATCAGCAATACTTGCCGAAGCTATTACAGACATCCAGGCATGTTTTTTCTCCCCTGAACCCTTCATACACCCTCTCCAGAGAAGGAAGTATGGGATTCTGATCTTAATTATCTTCTTTGCCTGATGCCAGTGATCATACTCACCAGGCAGTTAACTGTCATCTAGTGCACCTTGCTTCTCCATTTATGATCTGATGTATCAAAGTAGGATATGGCAATTTTACTCAATGTTTTCCCACCTAAATTAATTACCGTAGTTTTCTCCCAGTATTGTATGGTATGTTTAGAGCATTCCCACTATTTTCCAGGTGAGGACACCAAGCATGATCTAGGGAAGTAAAGACAGTCTGATAAGGACATTCAGTAACACCACAACCAAAACAAGATTGGGCTTCTCATGCAGCAATATCATTTCTCTTATATTAGCAATACATACATAAATAAATATATAAAGAAAGAAAAACCAAAGCCTTCTAGTTAAGTTTGAAATAATGCGGACCATCCGTCATTCCAAAGCACTTCGGAGATGCTAGCGACTTGCCCTGTTCTGTTTTATAGAAATGCACTTTTTTAAAAAAAATTAAAAAATTAAAGGGACACTGTCAATCTCTTCTGATTAATATCAGTCCTATAAAAAGGATATGTTTCTGCAGCAACCATCTGTCATTTTGATCATTTTAAAGGCATGCTATATCAGCAAGTCTGCTTTTTATAAAATGTTGGCATGGGACAAGCAGAGCTGGAGAGACTTGTGGATTTCACACTCCACTTTGCTGCTTTGGTGTTCAGCAATCTGAGCTTTTGATGGTGGAGCAGAGCCCCCTCCCTGTCTTTTAAAGGTTGTTTTGGGTGAGTGTTTTCCCCAGCTGATTTATGACAGAGATACTCACCCCTATTTATGTTTCTCTCACGTCTAAAGATAGTCCTGTCACACATGCATCCCACCAGCATGCAAGCACCCAATGCATCCACTTGATTAACTACTGAACCTTAAGAGGTGTCCAGAAACACTGAACTCAGTACCCCGCAGGTCTTTTCCTCTGGGCAACTGAGACCATTGTCTTCTGCAATGCCTAGTTCCTAGTTTGAGCTCCTTGGGTTGTAAAAGTCAGAGGCAGAGGTACTGTGACATTTATTAATTCATTATAATAATTATTTATGGGTCGTGGGTTCCATGTTGGGTTCTCTTCTAAGCTCTGGAGACATTGAGATGACTAAGACCCAGTCTCTGTCCTCGGAGATAGCGTGCATGGCCACACCATTGGCAGGAGAGTCAGAAGTTAAACACAACTGCTT